ATCAATGCATTGAATGCACTGCGAGAGAGGCAGCAGATTAGCCTAGATCATCATTTCTGCTCTTACCCATTACCAGTACACCTGCCTATTGGGCCCACCACGACGACCACAAAGCCCATTGGGACCATTTAATAAAAGAAGCCCATTAAATGTTCCCCTGCAGTCTGAACTTGAATTTACAAAAATCACAGGAAAGACATTTCCCCCCATTCCCTCTCTCCGATTTCGCGCCGGCTGTTATCTGAATCTCTGATCGTCATCATTCATGTCTATCTCCTCGCCGGAGGCGCCTCCGCCGCACATATACATACACACGTCCGAAATGTATGTATCTATATCACATATATATATGTATGTATATATGTATACTCCACCGGCTAGGTTTTTGTCTGCGTGCATTTATTGATGTCTGAGGTTGGAAGATTTTCATTGCTCTTTCATTAACTGCTCTCTCGCTTTATCTACTGTACCTTTTACCTGTGTGTGTGTTTGTGCATTTTTTTTTTTAATTTTTTATTTTTTATTTGTGTTTGTTCATTGCAGGTATACAATCAATGTGTATTTGATGTTTCGTGAGCATTAAATTGAAATCCTCACGCATAAACAGTGATTCGCTCCTAGAGATGGTAGAAGTACGAGGCGGCCGGGATTGCTCGGTCGCTGTCGCCATTTAGACACACACAAAAAAAAATGCAAAAATCTGGATGATCTTAATTGCGTTGAGGAATTAAATGCTGCGTTGCATTATAATGGCTTGCAATTTCTCTGAACTATGCATTTAACGCAGAAAGCTTTTTCCTGCTAATACTACTCTTGCTCTGCTGCTATCTTTAATGGGATATTCTTGTGTATATTGAACATAAATGTTTAAGGATTAACATTGAACATGTACAGTTATACATGTGTTGTGTGAGATCTTAAAAGCAAGGGTCCTATAATGGCCTGGATCTTTATCTTGGGAATTGTACACATTAGATTGATCAATGCTAAATTTCAACCTTCAATTGAGCGGATCCTTTCCCAATGTGTGTTTGTAAGGCCAGGCACATGGGAAAAAGAACATAAGATAAGTTGGCATATGAAGGCATGAAGCTATTAGGTAGGTTAGGCTTTTACTGCAGTGAATGGTGGGCAGGATCACAATAATAACAAGATGAGAATGCTGTAAGGTGAATGTGTGAGAATACAAGGGTCATATTAAAGATGAATGCATTTGAAGAAAGGTGCAAGTGGCACCAATCTGAAAGATATAAACTCAGAGCTAAGAGATTAAGATGCTTGGACGTGCTTAGTCTAGGTATATAGATGCTCTGGTTATAAGGAGTGATAGCATGGCAATCATAGGGGTTAGGCAAGAGGAGGTAGACCAAAACATAATTGGATCGAGATAGATGTTAATTTTAAGGAAGGCATGCTGATTTCCGGGGTAAAGACTGCATTAGCATTAAATAGAGCCGAGAGGAAAATAGAATATATATAAATTACCATAACTAGATTGGGATTAAGGCTAGTCCGGTACAAATATCAAAGTGCAAGAGTCATCAGTATTTCATGTATTCTATACATTCACTTATTCTGAGACATGTGTATTGACCCATCATATCGTGGCAATAAATGCTTATCCTGCATATGAATTGCCGGTCATATTTCTGTTGCTATGTTATCTACTAGAAAGTAGGAGTGGTACTACTTCCATATGACTTGTCAATTAAACTGTTTCACTGTCTCTCTTGCTCTCTCTCTCACTGTTCCTTCAAAGACTACTTTTAAAGCTTAGAGCTTGGTCCTTAGTTGATCACTAATTCACTATAGAAAAGTAAATTTAAAGATCTAGAGAGAGAAAGAGAAAGAGGGGGAAGGGAGACTAGAAATGGGGAGAGCACCCTGCTGTGACAAGAAGGGGCTAAAGAAAGGGCCATGGACTCCTGAAGAAGATGAAAAGCTTACTGAATACATCAAGAAAAATGGGCATGGTAGCTGGCGTTCCCTTCCCAAGTTTGCAGGTTTGCACTTCACTCTTTCTTTACCCATTCTTCCTCTTTCTTGGCATTCTCTAATAAAAAAAAATCTTGTTTTTTTCAAGCATTTTATATATATATATAATTTACAGTTGGAAGGAAGAAATAAGGAGTGGATGACTCAATTTCTAAATTGTCTGTCACTAAGAAAAGTCTGAATCATTGTGGCATATGCCATATAGAAAGCTTTCCATAAAAAAGATGTAGAACCTTCTTGTTTGGGGTGTAGTTTTTTCATAGGTGGTGAAACTCATGTTGCAGTTATTAGAAGCTTATTCATGTGTCTAGATCTAATATTTCATGTTTCAGGATCTAAACTAACCATTTGTTTGCACTCTGGATTGAAAATCAAGGTAACTAGTGTTATTGAACACTGAACATATTGAATCCTTTGGATAATAATTGAATTAGCATACGGAGTATTACCTAAGGATCCAGGTAAATAGTGTTGCTGAACAATGAACATCTAGAATCCTATGTTCGGTCACTTTTGTGTTTAACTAGTAATCCTTTAATTAATTTATTACTGAGATTTATTCTTTTTACCAATATTGGCACAATTAAATGATTAAATCTAGGTGGTTTACTGGTATGTAAGAATGTCTCTGACTTGTTTGTCTCTCTCATTCATTGAGATGTCTTTAAGAGGGCTGATTTAATTTTTTATAGAGACAATGAGCTTAACCCCATCAATGAAGCCTTCGAAAGGCATTTCCTAAAGAGATTGGGTTGGGAGGCAAATTTAATGCCTTGACTAAACTCCTTTCTCATCCCCAGGGGTATTCATTCCATTTCTATCTACTATTATATTAATAGATGGAATACACCCTTCTTCTTTGTCCAAGCCTATCATGTGCAGCTTCTATTCACCTATTCTCTGTGGGTACCTTATTGGCTTATTGTACTAGTGATCTTATTGTAAGGGACATTGGCTGGGTTCATTCATAGCATCCCTGCATGGTTTACTATTGCTATTGATTAAATTGTGCAACCCATTCCCCACTTCACTAGTTGCTGCGGAAAGTTCCTAATTACCTCAATAGTCTTTTTCCAACAGAGGCATAGTTACGATATTCCCAACAAATGCCCATTTTCCCTATTAAATTAGATCTGGTAATTGTCGTTTCAATATAGTCTGTATTTGATTGTAAGAAGAGATGGGGGACCGTTATTTCAATGCAGGGCATGTCTTTTTTCATGATATAATATACTCTTAATAACAGATGGGTTGGAAGATGCTAAAAAAATCTTGGGCCTCTCACATAGAAATAACATCTTTTCAGAATGCATCTAAGAGTTGTATGGAGTTACAATTTGCTGTTGATGTCTTCTTAAACTAAGTGCTTAATTCTTAACATTACAGCACGCCAAATTCAAATAAATTCACTTTGTACAAATAAGAAACAAAATGGGTTCTAATGTTCAGTTTCTCAAGAGGAGAAATTGGCTTATGCAATTGTGTGGGAGGAGCTGGCAGTTGATATGTCAAGTATGGGTATCTTTCTTGTTACTGTTAATTCCAGTGACAAAACATTTGCCAAATGCTTTTGTGATTATTGGGTTAAGGTATAACGGGCAGCACCCTCACTGAGTTGGTTCTATGTGATTACGTGTTTGTATTCTATGGTGGTTTACTTCTATTGTAGTTTTAACCTTGTTCTGATCTTTATATTAGTGGTATGTTCTAAGATGGTTGAGGTAATTCTTCTTTTCACAAGAAACAACTTTTCCACATATTTTCTACTTGCAGGTCTTCTTCGCTGTGGGAAAAGCTGCCGTCTCCGATGGACAAACTATCTCAGGCCTGACATAAAAAGAGGTCCATTTAGCCCTGAGGAAGAGGAGCTTGTTGTACAGTTACATGGCCTTCTGGGAAACAGGTCTTGCTTGTTTGCTTTAAAATTACCATGGATTTTCTCATAACAGCATATTCAGTGACACAAACCTCTTCTTCTCAGGTGGGCTGCAATCGCCTCCCAGTTACCTGGAAGGACTGACAACGAGATCAAGAACTTATGGAATACCCACCTGAAGAAGCGCATGATTTCCATGTGCATTGATCCTCAGACTCACAAGCCCTCCTCTGATGCTAATGGACTGATGTGGACAATGCCCACGACCCCCTCTGCCCGCCACATGGCACAATGGGAAAGTGCTAGGCTCGAAGCTGAGGCTCGTCTTTCAAGGGAATCACTACATTTGGTTCCATCACCAACAACGGTGGGATCTGAAACCGACTTCTTCCTACGCATGTGGAATTCTGAGATAGGAGAATCATTCCGGAAGCTCAAGAAAGGGGAGAAAGCCGATTGTCAAAGTCCAATCTCCGAAACATCTTCATCTATGAAATGCGGGTCAGCTTCAGGAACAACCGAAGTGGATCCTACCCTGACTGTTCACTCAGCTGCTGACTGCAACCTGAATAAAGATGCAGAACAGAAGAGCTGCAAATCTTATATCGAATACCCCCTTTCAGAAATGTCTTGCACCGACGAGTTGGATGATTCATCCGAATCAGCTCTACAGCTTCTCTTGGATTTCCCTACCCACACTGACATGAGCTTCTTAGAACACACTGATGCCTACACCATACACCCCACACCCTTCTCACCAAAAATTCTCTGAACTTCTCTTCTGCAGAAAAACAGTTTCCTCCCTATAATGAAAGAGACTGCCTAAACTCCAGCTGGTTGTGTTTTAGCAGATCCAGCTTGCACCAACTTTCTTGTGCATCTATTCTATTAGTATTGGTAGAGCAAGATGGCTTTTGTCTAAATTCACCTAAACTTGTATTCCATTCATTTCTTATGTTGTCCTGATTATACACTTCTAGTTTGTTTCCATATTGACCGCATTTCTGTTTCTTGTTAACTTATATAATTTATAAATGTGTGTGTATATAGTAAGCTTCCATTAGTCGTTTGTTTACTAACTGTCCCAATTTATTTATTGTAAAATTTTAGTTCCAATTTAACGTTACCATTTTAAGCACCAAACTGAACTATAATATTTATTAACACAGGAGCAAACAGGAGTGTCTGTCTATACAAAGAACAGAGCTTGGGGAACACATCACAGCAAAGAACACAAAGAACAGAAAGTGGACAACATACGACACACGAAGAACAATAAAGTGAAGAAACACAACAATTCAATTTACAGCCATTGTTCAGACTTCAGATAGCCTTCATCACCCGAAGCATCCAAACGCCTTCTTGGGGACTTGTCCGGTTGCGCGGAACTTTGCAGCCATCTCCTCAGTCTTGAGAACTTGTTCATTTCTTTGGGAAACAATCACACTTCTCTTCTCTTCTGCTTCCTTATGAACCAAAGCTGTTTTGTTGCTCATCTTCTCTGCATATTCCGCTTTCTTCTTCTCTAGTTGTTCCTGCAAATAGTTCGCATTTGCTCCATCACTTGGCCATTATATTCAAACTTCTGACAGGTTACCTAAGTTCAGAAGTAACTAATTACCTCAATCTTCTTCAGTTTTGCTTCAATATTTGCTTTTTTGGTGTTCTCCCAAGACAGTACATCAGCAAGCTTCTTCTGTGCCCTGCCAAATCGTTTCAATTAGCTTATTCAAAGAGGCGACGGTTATAGCAAAACTAGCACTCCATGGTCAGAAGAAAGAAATGCGTGATAGCTCGAGTCTTGTATTTACTCTTACATGAAGACTTGAAGAGAACCATAGTATAACATCTAGCAAATTCATGTTAGATGCCAAAATGAAGAAGAAATTAAAGACAATGGCCTACCTGTTCTCTACTTTGCTCTTTTCACTCTCTTCCCATGCCTTTATAAAGGATACTCTTTTGTCATCCTCAATCTTTGCAAGAGCAATGTCTGGAGATACAGCATATGGACAAAACAGCAGTTAACTTCATATGTATATATAGTTCCAACCACAAGACTACAACCGCCTAGTCATAGTTGCAACTTGCAAGAGGTAGTGCTGACAACGGAACCCAGATTGGCTCCACTTTTCACTTTGGGGGGAAATAATGACAGTAACGTGAGACACCACCAATCAAGTTAGTCAGACAGTTAACTTGATAACTGTATTGTTACAAGTTCAAAAGTTCAACCCCAGCAGAACGACCGACCTATTAGCTTTCTTGGTTTGAGCTGGTCATTATAAACAACCTAGGCTGATTGATCCTTGGTTGTATCTGGTATTGCGGCGGGGACAAGTTGTCTTAGCTTTTTTGAGTACTACTGACTATATTATAATGCAGTATCTGTTCATAACTATTTTCTCAAGCACAGAATCATCACTTTCATTGTGACACGAACCCATGACCTCCCATATGGGAGCCACTTCGTGCCACTCGACCAAGGTCATTGGCAAAGTGAATGTTTCTTTGTAATCATGAAAACTCATTAAAGTTTAGGTTACCTCTGTCAAGGGATCCCTTAGAACCAGCTGTCTTCAATGGAGGATCAGGATTCTCTGACAACAAAATGTTTAAGATTAATTAAGCTGCAAGATCTAAGCTTGATGCAGCTACCTGCTAACATGTAACAATTACTCTAATACTATGAAGGATGACAGATGCATATAAACATAGACACACAACAGAGATATCTTAATCTGATCAAAGATAAAGCCAAAACATCAATCCTTAAATTTATCCAAGAAATTAATAAAGCTAGAAAGAACCCTTGAAACCATGAACAAAACCCCCAAAACATTGGATTTTGATAACACAGAGAGAGAAAGAGAGAGAGAGGAATTTACTGTGAGGGACAACAGCTTTCTCTGGGGAAACATCTTTGGTGGGGCCCATGTTTTGAGGGGCGGCGACGGCGACGGAAGTGAGAGGTGGTTCTTCTGGTGCAAGAACGGCGGCGGGCGGAGGAGGAGCAACCACTTTCTCCGCCACAACTGGCGCAGCTGCTGCCATTTTTATACACAAGAAAGGAAGGAAACACGACAAAGAAGCTAGCTAGCTTTGAATTAAAGCTACAAAGAATGATTCTTAGCTTCTTCGATCAATTTATTCAGGACGAATCATGCATTAATACCAGCATGCGTTGTATATATCATTCAGATTTCTTTTTTGGTATCAATCTTCCATATATTTCCCCTATCAGTTTATCTGCTTTTAAAGCTTCATTCATGCGCTTGTCGGACAAGTTGATGAATCGCGGACACGTGGCGGATTGGCAAACGGCTATCAAATTGCAACGTTTGTATGCGGCAGTTGTACAGTGACGACGAATCCTATGATCATCCTGTCCTGTCCTACTACGCTTTCGCAACGCGTGTTTTCCCCCTACTGCTTGCCGACAGATTCATAGATACTCACTTCTTTCACTATACTTATCTTATTTTAGTATTTTACATATAAAATTTCTAGTATATATATATATTAAGGAAAAAAATACTACTTGAATTCTCCAGACTATATACACCTATTTTTGGGTTCAAATATTGTATGTAATTATAATAAACTATTATATAATGCGATGGTATTATACCTCTATTATATTCGATTCGATCATGTGGGTAAGTGCATACATGTTTTAAAATTCTGGGTAGATCATGAATTTTTTCAAGAATCAAATATGAGTATGCGACTTAGACTAAATCTCAGTTAATCTTACAATAATATAGATAAAGATTTACACACTAATATATAAGTATGTTCAATCGAAGAATTGTTAGCAAGAATAGAACTCTTGACCTTATGGTGATGTTAACAATTAATCAATAATTTTTTGAATAATAATATAATGATGATGATTGGTAAAATAGAATCATGGTGTATAAAAGTAAAAAATCAACTAACAAAATTGAGAGTTCAAATTCCCTTGCATGAAAAAATTAATCTAGTCAACACTTTATTTATTAATTAGGCCGACGCGATGTGAATGAAGATTAATATAAATATGATACGGGTTTAAAGGTGTCTCCTACAATTAAGGTCTGCTTAGGACACCTTGTGATATGATTAAAAAAAAACTCGTTTTTGAGAGGGATTTGCTGGAGATGGTACATTTTTAAAATAAAAAATAAAAATCTGTATGTCAAGTAGTGGTTAAAGCAACATTAAATGAGCTGTACTTTGGTGTCATGTACTCAAAGCAATGAAGCATCTATCATTATTGCCACTAATACAATTTAAAGTTAGATGGCCAATAAGGATCGTAGCAAGCAATCACATTATATTGTCAACTTTTTGTTTTAAGCAATTTTGTTCTTTCCTCCCAATAGCCCAATTTTTTTTTTTTTCTTGATATGATTATATTGTATTGATAAAGATAACATAAAGGAAAAGTGTAAATTGCAATATATGAAACGAATTTACTATTTGGTAGAATATGAGTATGAGTATGAAATATTAGGGATAGTAAATTACCCCGTCTTTAATAGGAATTTCTGATCTTCAATTCCCTGTCTTCCTGATGAAGACGGGGATGATTTTTTTTTTTTTTTTTTTTTTTTTTTGGAGAATGGAGACGAGAATGGGAAATGTGTATGTAATTTCCCGTCGTCGGGGATGTGGACAAGGACGGAGATACCCTTTCTTGCACAGCCTCGTCCCCGAATATATATATATATATATATATATATATATATATATATATATATATATGTATGTATGTATGTATGTATGTATGTATGTATGTATGTATGTATAGAAATTATCTTTTCAAAATTTTAATTATTAAAATTATATTAATTTAACATTTTGACTAGGATTGATCGGGAATGGAAATGGAGAAATTTTTCAACTCTACGTTGGGAATGGGGATGGGGCCGGTTGGGGAGTGCCATCCCTATGGAAGATTGTATTGTTGTTTAAGTGACAAAACTTTATATTACATGTGAAATATTTGTCATGTAACTACAACTAATTAATGAGGGGAAGATGTGTGTTAGGTATGGCCAATACATATGATTTAAGTTGATGCTAGATAATTGTTTAGCTTTGCTTGTTATTTTATTTTTTCTTTTAATGACTGAAGTTATCAAATTTTTTACTATCTAATTAGTCAATCAATTTCATCTTTACTTTAATTTAATCATTTAGCGGTTCATTTAGTTCGCGAAAAATATTTGAGGAGAATGAAATGAAATTAAAATTTTATGAAAAAATTATTGAGAAAATTAATTAATTACAAAGAAAAAAAAAACAAAGGAAAAACTAGTTTTCTTCAAATTCAAGACAAACATTTTTCTTAAAAAACAATTTTTCATCTAACCAAACATCCCTATGTGTTAGTTATTATATAGAAATTTTGATATATCAACAAGTGTGAGATGAATATATATTGATGTTGAAATGGATATACGTGGAAATTAAAGATAGAGATGGGAGATGGGGATAATTTGGTACTGGAAAATGGAAATTGATTGATGATTAATTAATTGACGACAATCTGTCACATGCATGGCCACAACGTTTACCCACATCTTCCCAACAATACGTATAGCTTGTACTAGTATTTTATATGCTCCATTCACAAAAAATATATGCCTAATATAAAATTTAAATATTAAAATCTTAGTTATATTAGTTTGTGGTTAGAATTATAGAAATGATAAATTATTAAATATAGCTATAGTAATATTTTAATTAAAATCTAAATAAATTCAAATTTACCATTGAAGGATGTAAGAAAAAATATTGTGTTGCATGTACATGGTAATAATAATGTGAAAATATAACAAAAGTTATAACGACAGTGATATTTTTGTCTAAAAAATTATGTAGTACAATTTTTATAATATAAAGTATAAAAAAAATTAACAGAGAAAATAGACATAAACTAGGGGTATAACCTGGATTGAAACTTGTTATGTTTTTAGATTAGATTTATATTAAGGTTTCCAAATGTTTTTGTTTGTTTTGTTTTGTTTCTAAAGTATATGGGAGTTTTAAGTGAAAAGGTTGGGGTGAATCTGAAAATACCTATAATTCTGAGGAAGAAATTCGAAATATTGAACATATGTGGTAAAATTCACATGTTTCCAGATCCCATTGAAGGATGTAAGAAAAAATATTGTGTATGCATGTACATGGTAATAATAATGTGAGAATATAACAGAAGTTATAACGACAGTGATGTTTTTGTCTAAAAAATTATGTAGTACAATTTTTATAATATAAGATATAAAAAAAAATTAACAGAAAAATAGACATAAACTAGGGGTATAACCTAGATTGAAACTTGTTATGTTTTTAGATTAGATTTAGATTAAGGTTTCCAAATGTTTTTGTTTGTTTTGTTTTGTTTCTAAAGTATAAGGGAGTTTTAAGTGAAAAGGTTGGGGTGAATCTGAAAATACCTATAATTATGAGGAAGAAATTCGAAATATTGAACATATGTGGTAAAATTCACATGTTTTCAGATCTCTTGGGGGGCAAATTGCAATTATTTTATGTATTCTGAGAACGATCCGGCGCCGGTTTCGGTTTTCAGTTTTCCACTTCGCAGTCGTCATCTTCACCGACACTGGCGGACATGGACTCCAGCGCTATATCGCCGCCGCCGTTGATTCCTTCGCCGGAAAACACGTGGGGAGATAAAATATCCAAAGCTGTATTATCAGTATACAGTTCTCTACCAAAGAAAGGAAAGCCTCAGGGCCGCGAAGTCACCGTTTTGGCTGCTTTTCTCACCTCTTCTCCTCATCATGGTACAATAAAATTAAATATTGATTTTTTAAAATTTTTAATTTAATTTGATTCCTCTGTCTACGAATGCAATTCAATTTATTAAGTATTCATTTCAGAACTGGAGGTAGTTTCAATGGGAACCGGGACGAAATGCATTGGGCGTTCTCGCCGGAGTTCAAAAGGAGATGTTGTAAATGATTCTCATGCTGAAATTATAGCCAGAAGAGCTCTTATGAGGTTTAAGTTTTCTTAATTTCCATAATTTTCTGCAATATTGAATAAAAAATCAGCTTTATAAACCTTTCTGCTGAAACTGTTTGTTTTTTTTTTTTAATATCAATTCCCGGATTCTTATTTTAGTAATGAAGATTAATAATGGGCAGTGAATTTCGTCCAAGAAAAATCAGCTTTGATTAGTTTGGAGCATTTAATTCTTTTCAAGCAGAACCATGAATGAGACATGTGAATTTTGGAAGTAGTAATCATGGGAGGGAAATTTTGAATAAAAGGATCTTATGGATTTTCTCTGAATCATATCAGGTATTTCTATGCAGAGATCAAACATCTTAGCGAGAGTAGTACGAATGGGAGGACAATGTTGGATGATGATGAAAGCAAAGGCTTTCTTTTTAATTTAAATGGAGATGGTTTTGGACGAAAACGACTAAGGATGAAGCCGGGTTGGCAATTACATTTATACATATCACAGTTACCGTGTAGGTATTGGTTCCTTTATATTTTATATAAATCTTGGTTACAAAAGATTAAAGTCCCCTTTTTTGCCCATTAAATACTTTGTTTCTTTGTAGGCGGAGATGCCTCACCTAGTTCTGAACTTGCTCCTCTGAAAGAGAGTCATTCAAGATCAGTGGAACTTAATAATTTACCAGAGGTTTCCGAATCTACTGCAAGGATTGATGGTATTAGTTCCATTGCACTTGGATTGTTTCATCAAGTAGCTTTCTGTTCTAACATTTGAATTTTCCAATTGGATCTTTACAACTATCTGGTGTTGATTTCAATAAAATAATGATAAAAAAGACTTCCATAATTGGATGGACTTTATATTCACATTTTTATTTCCAGGTGAGCATTCGACTTCTATTGGCACAGTTTTGAGGAAGCCTGGTCGTGGAGATACAACTTTGTCAGTGAGCTGCTCAGATAAGATTGCCCGCTGGAATGTTGTTGGAGTTCAAGGTTCCTCAGATGTTCTTTGTAGATATTCTTTCATCGAAACTCAAACTACTTGATTTGAAACCTTGCCAGTTGTTTACTGGCTGAGATCCAAGTATCCAACCGTTCTTTAGTAGTCATTCTTCTTATGCAGGAGCTCTACTTTCTTGCTTCATGGAGCCGGTTTACATTTCTTCAATAACGGTTGGACAATCACTTGTCAGTTCTGAGAATTCTAACAGTGAAGATCGAATGAGGAGAGCTGTCTATGACCGGCTCCTACCATTATCAACCGAGTTAATGGCTCCCTATGAAGTGAATAAGGTTTTAATGACTTTCCATCGTCCTTGGTGATTTCATATTTTCATGTATCTGCAATGAACTGTTAATTCTTTGTGTTGTTACAGCCTCTTCTCATGGTAGCTCCGACACCACCAATGGAGTTTCAGCACTCAGAAACTGCCTCGGCAACCTTAACCTGTGGGTAGGAGTGTTTTACTAATTCTTTCTTATGACATTGTTAGTTTGGCATTGCTTCCTTAGAAGTTGTGAATCGCAAACTGAAGGTACTCCATATGCTGGAACAAATTGGGCTTGCATGAAGTAATACTTGGGACCACCGGAAGGAAGCAGGGCACCTCTGCAAAAGGAGCATTGTCCCCGTCCACCGAGTCATCTTTATGCAAGTAAGCCGTTTGTATGTTAATTTTAGTAGGTATAGAAAAGTTTATAAAATTTTAAAGCTATATGCTCATAACTCATTCCTTCTCAATGGATTTCTAAGAATGTTATGTTTATGAGTATTACAATTGTTGGGCGTCAGCCGGGTTGGCCAAGTTCAGCCCCAGTTCAGCCCCTGCTCGATTCGAGACGTGGCGTTGTGGTTTACCATGGAGGGATGTGGTTAAATGGTTAATGTTCACCTACTTATTACCAATTGGTTTTAAGTAGGATATGTCAACCAGATAGCCAAAGAACTCTATGGTTAAGGGTACTTGACTTACAATAGTCAAAGGATGGGTGACCCCACTGCGGAAGTAAGCATAGTGCAGTGCTAAGATCCATCAACAATTTCTCTTTGCCTCCCTCTTTCCCTCACTTTTTAGTAGATATAAACCGGCATGTCATGTTGAAGCATGCCTTATAGCCATGCCAGCTTGTTAGACCTTTAACATAATACTGGTGCCTAGCCTTTAATGACAAGCATAGTGTTCGGTTTTGTTGTAAAACACTCTGCAACAACAAAGAAAAACATTACCATCTTCAATTATTTCTTATAGCATCTGTTGCAATCACTGTTCAGGAAGCGCCTTTTGGAGCTATTCTCCTCACTATATCGTAATTGGCTGGATCAACATACTTCTTGTGAGACATCTTATCGAGAACTAAAGGTAATGTTTACTTCTTTGGCTCCAGATCTACACTGTTCAGGCCCATGGAAATTATTGGACTAAACAATACTCTTTTTTTCCTATTTTCTATTGCAGGACAGGGCCCAAGAATACACTTCAGCTTCAAAATCCTTTAAGCAGAGCCCACACTTCAAGAATTGGTTTCTGAAACCCCAAAACTTTGAGGCCTTCTCGTATCCTGGACAGTGAGTCAAATTACAGCAGTTATTGTTCCAAAAGAAGATTCAGTTCCGTGAATAAAGCTATTTAATTAACCATTCCTTTCATCGACACTTTTGCACGAACTAAATCACTAGAAAACCACATAATGTTTATCCATCTCGTTCTGCAGGATTCATTTATCCATTGCATACATTTTTGACATTTTTCGTGCTCTCTAGAAGGTTTGAGTATATGCGTTTTGCTGAATGAACTGGTATTTATAGTGGGGAATTTTTCTCCATTGAAATCATTCAACCAAATATCTTTTTTTATTATGATGCTTTTGTGTACTAAACTAATTACAATATAGTCACTGATATTTCTTTTCTTCCCATTTCATACATACCACTTGACTTTGATGTGATATTGCTATATTAGTCTTGAATCATTTATTACTTTTGCACAACTGGCTTAACATAGTCTACACTACATAGTAGATAGTTTGGGTAAAAACCATCAATTTATGTACTTATCCCCATTTATCAGTCTTTCAATATGATTGTTACAGGAACCTAAGTTTGGCCAAATCGTTTAATTGGGTTTGGTAGAGCTTATGGTTGATTGGTTGATTGTTTGATCTTGAACAAGGCTGTACAGTTGCAGTTTTTGACCAAGTCTTTGAAGTTAGACATAATCCATTCTACCCGTATGGGCAGCTCAGTTGGTTCCTGAATGATAGATGGTAGGCAATGACACATGATCGAGTCTTGACAATTGTTGGGTGAGAGTTTTACCTAATGTGGTGAGTTTCTTGTAAGCACTAAACTGTGGTCCTCCCACTATTTATCCTTCCACTATTATGTTGGGTCTGGGGTGAGAATTTTGCCTTTTATGAACAAGATATAATCCATTCCCTGTCTGTAATATTTGAGTGTTTTCCAAGGTGCTGAATGGTTGACAGTAATATCTTTCTATCCTTCAATGCAAATTGCAATTAGGAAACTGTATTAATACCCGCCATAATCCACGCCCAAACATGTTATGCTACATCAAGGTCAAGATAATCAAACTGTATTGATCCTCGAATTGCTTAAAATTTTGTCAATTGACGAAATTTTAAAAAAGTGAAAAATCATCATTTTGGTTCTGGTAAGAATTTAATTGATGAAATTTTAAACAATTTGAAAATCAAATTGGTTGAAATTAAAAATTAGGGACTATATTTACAGTTAAGAAACAATTGATGGACCAAAAGGGTGATTAACTCATAATTTAAAAAATTGAATTATTGATGAAACCCAAATAAATAATTTATTTGGAATAAAGTCAATGAGAACATCGTTTCTCGTACACGAGGAAATGGGCCATCAAACACATGAAGGATGGTTAGCATTCTTGTTTGAGATGAACTGAGGAAGGCCGTTGGTTCATTCATGGTTTTGATGACCCTAATCACATGCTAATTTGGGTAATCTTTAAGCTGCCTAGGGCTGGGCACTTCGATTTTCGGTTTGGTTTTTTTCGGTTTCGGTTTTGGTTTCGGTTTTTCGATTTTAGAAAAAGTTGAACCATTCGGTTTAACATTATAGTTCGGTTTGGTTTTAATCGGTTTGGTTTCGGTTCGGATTTAATTCGGTTCGGTTTTCGGTTCGGTTTAAGACTTTACGAGAATTACATTCATCATTGTAGTTCGGTTTGGTTTCGGTTGGAGTGCTACTTGGAGTGTTCCCTTGATGGTAAGATAGAGAATCATCTATCTGCATTATCAAATTCAAATGTAAACGGTTCGCTTGATGGCAAGATACATGACTAAGCCATTTAAAATTTCCCGTCATATTAATTCTAGTTCACTGGAATTGAAATTTAATTCCAGTGAATTGAACTAGAGCAGTTCAATGGAAGTCACTGGAATTAAATTTCAGTTCACTGTGAACTGGGAATTTTCCAGTTCACTACTGGAATTTGAATTAAATTCCAGTAGTGAACTGGAATGAAAACAATCAAGAGATCAATACAAGATTAAAACTTATACAGCGCAAGTCAATGAACATAATGAAATTGAAATTCTAGTCTCTAGAACACAAAATCTAAATAAATAAATAAAAGTCCTAATTCAAAATTCTTTAAATAAGGAAATGTATAAACTATAAACTATAACCTACAAAACTAAAAAATATTAAGTAGAAAAGGAAAACATATTAAGTTAGGATTAGACCTTAGAATGTTAAATTATATTGAAGTTATTTATATATTATTAGTTATTATATTATATTATATATATATATATATATATATATATATATATATATATATATATATATATTTTATTTTTTTTTTTAAAAAAACCAATCGGTTTATCGGTTTGGTTCGGTTTTAAACCGAACCGATCGGTTTCTCAAATCTTAAGACCGATCGGTTTTTCGGTTTGAAACCAAACCAAACCAAATTGGTTCGGTTCGGTTCGGTTAAACCGAACCAAAATGCCCAGCCCTAAAGCTGCCTATTTAGTTTAATTTTACCAATTGCTATATGTATAATAATTACTTCATTTTCACTTAAAGTCGCCAGGAAGACCAGAAAACATGACATTGCAGAACTTCCTAAGTACGCGGTGTTCACATGAAAGACAATATCTATCTCTCCGCAGTTGTTTTCCTAGGTATCTAGTGGTTCACATTTTTCTTCATCCTCAAATAAATCAACTAATTTGCCTTAAAACTATGCACAAAGTTAACTTCAGTTGCTGTCACCTTGTCACATCGTGTATGTGATGACACCTTCACAAGATATTCATGGGCATAAGAAAAATACAAAATGTCATATACCAATCGTAACGGCACCGGTGACCGTAGTAGGATGCAGAGTTCCATTCCTATTGGTAATACAAAGTATGTTATTGTAGACTTTTGAGTCACATTTTTTAATTTATCTCTTTTAACTAGAGGTTTAAGGGGTAGTGAGACTGAATTTTTTTCTTTTTAATGAGTTAATAATATTCTTCTTTAAAAAATTTTTTAATACGAGGAAAAACGTAATTATTATTTTTATTTTATAAGGAAATTGGATTATCAATGCTGAAAATACTTAAATTATATTTCGATCATTCAAAAGTGGTCGGAATCGAACAATTTTCAGTTAGAAACGAGCCTCCTAACCACTTTTGAGATTTGCAAAAGTCCTAGCTAATTTTAATTACAAGTCAAAGTATTAAATGTTTTTGAACATGGGTGGTTAAAACTTAAGTTCTTTGTGGGGGTTTTAAAAATTTTGATAACATTATATGATTGTGTTTGAAAATTTCAACTATTTTAGCCCGTGGTTGAAATAAGTAACGGATCTATGAACATAGATACTATATCGTAACAGAGTCAGTAATATTAAAAAAAAAACATAAAATTTTGATCATTTTTGGATAGTAAAAAAATGGTTATTTGCCAATGTATCCCTTATTTAATTTTTAACTTAATTATAAGCCATTGTATGTATGTATATGTATATATAGACATCTATAGGTTAACTGAGACACAATTTATGAGGACTCATATATATATAGACGTGGGGACACTCATTATAAAGTTATTAATTAAGCTAATTATTTTGGTGCAGATTAATTAGGAGGTGAGAAAACATGAAGGAGAGGAATGAGAAGTTGATGAAAATATTTTGGCTAAGGCCAGCTTATCAGAGACACCATTCCTTCGGAGCTAGATGGAGATCCTCAACGAACAAGAAAACCGCCGCCGCCCTCACGGCGGCGCTCTTCCTCCTCCTCGCCGTCATCTTCGTCGTCTCCGTCTCGACTTTCCGGGGATGGGTTGACCTCGTACAGACAAGATATTCATTGTTGTCAGGTAAGAACGAAACTGAAGTTTTCGAATTCCCGATCCCTCTGGACTGCGTTGCATGGAACAAGACGAGCACGTGCCCGGGAAACTACCCGACATCATCGTACCTTAATTTCTCCGACTTGCCGGCGCCGCCGACGTGCCCGGAGTATTTCCGGTGGATTCACGAGGACCTGAAGCACTGGAAGGGGACGGGGATTACGCGGGAGATGCTGGAGAAAGTGCGCCGGAATGCGCATTTCCGGCTGGTGATTTCCGGCGGGAAGATGTACGTGGAGAAGTACAGAGAGTCTATTCAGACCAGAGCTCTGTTCACCATGTGGGGAATTATGCAGTTGATGAGGTGGTATCCCGGCAAGTTGCCGGATCTTGAGCTCATGTTTGATTGCGACGACAGGCCGGTCGTCCCGGCGAAAGACTACCGGAGACCGGACTCCGGGCCGCCGCCGTTGTTCCGGTACTGTTCGGATGAGCAGAGCTTGGACATTGTGTTCCCGGACTGGTCATTTTGGGGATGGTAATAATGCATGCATGCCAAACATCAATTTAATTTCATTTTTATTCTATTTTATTTTATTTGATGACGAGGGACACCGCAAACATTGCTAGAGGTTGTGTAGTGGATAAATTTCGGTCATAGAATCACAAGGAGGTAACTCATAGCTGACCGACCTGTTCAAGTCAAGAAGACCAATAGGTCTCTCCGGTTCCTGCTGGGGTTGAACTTGTAACTTAATTTATGGTTACCAAGTCAATAGCCTAATTAACTTGGTTCGCGTGGAACCTACCTTATAAGTCTAGCTAGGCGGTAAAAGACCACAAACGACTTCGTTGTAGGTTATTTTCATTTTCTTTCATCTGAAAATAAATTGTTGGGCGTTGGCTGGGTTGGTCGAGTTCAGTCCCTCCTCGATTCGAGACGTGAGATTGTGGCTTACCATGGATGTGGTTAAATGGTTAATAATGTTCACCCACTTATCACGAATTGATTTTAAGTAAGTCAACTCCCGAGAAGTAAATATCCAACATAAATTTTAAGTAAACTATGACAACGAATAGCTAACCCGTGAAAAGTAAGCATAGTTATAGATATGTACTAGGTTAAACACATAAGTATCTAATTGACGGTAGCTGTGGGTAATTTTTATTTTTATTTTCTTTCATCTTAGAGAAAATGTTTACTAGGTTAAACACATAAAATCATATTAATGAAAATATCTAAAGGATGGTATTAATTGAAATTAATATCAAAATAAACGTTTGGATTTATATATGAATTAAATCATAGATAATAATTTTTAACGTTTTATTTTTGATAAATATAATCCTCACCTAGCAATCTAGCTAGATTACACGAATTGAATCTTGAATAGATACATGAATTAACTCTACTTTATTTTGTTTGATGACTATTAAAGTACATATGTAAGCAATATACAAGTCCTAATTAACATTTTCTAAATTATATGAAAATTTTATAATATTCATAATATCATGTATAATTATATATATTATTAGAGAAAAGGGTCAAATACACCCTTAAACATTTCGCTAAAGGTCAATTAACCCCACAAACTTTTGAAAAGGTCAATTGAACACATGAACATACAATTTTGAGTCACTTGACCCCATTAACCGGTAACTTTTACCTGATGAACCGGTAATTGACACCGTGGCGTGACACATAAGCGTTGGAGTGGGTACTTGGCTGCCACATAAGCATAAAAAAGAATTAAATTAAGAGAAAAGGGTCAAATAGACCCCTAAACATTACCCTAAAGGTCAATTAGCCCCCTAAACTTTAAAAAATGTCAATTAAACACTCAAACATGCTAAATTTGGTCAATGAAGCCCAAAAATCGGTAAATGACCTGTTTTTACCGGTCATTTTAATTCCGGCGACGAAATCCGGCCACCGGTGACGAATTCCGGCCACCGGCGAATTTTTCCGGCGGCCGACGAATTAATTTTCTGGCCGTCCGGTCGTCTTCCACCGGAGAAGACGACCGGACGGCTGCCTTCTCCAATGGAGAAGGCGGCAGGCGGCCGTCTGCCGCCTTCTCCAGTGGAGAAGACGACCAGATCTGGTCGTCTTCTCCATTGGAGAAGATGACCAGATCTGGTCATCTTCTCCAATGGAGAAGACGACCAGACGGACGTCTTCTCCATTGGAGAAGACGACCAGATCTGGTCGTCTTCTCCACTGGAGAAGGCTGGAGAAGGCGGCCGTCCGGTCGTCTTCTCCGGTGGAAGACGACCGGACGGCCGGAAAATTAATTCGCCGGCCGCCGGAAAAATTCGCCGGTGGCCGGATTTCGTCGCCGGAATTAAAATGACTGGTAAAAACAGGTCATTTACCAGTTTTTGGGCTTCATTGACCAAATTTAGCATGTTTGAGTGTTTAATTGACCTTTTATAAAGTTTAGGGGGCTAATTGACCTTTAGGGTAATGTTTAGGGGTCTATTTGACCCTTTTCTCTTAAATTAATAAAAACATTTTAAAATCAGCCATAAAGAATTTAACAGATTATATTGTACAGGGCTGATTTTAAATTCTTTTTTTTAATTTAATTCTTTTTTTATGCTTATGTGGCAGCTAAGTACCCACTTCAACGCTTATGTGTCACACCACGGTGTCAATTACCGGTTCATCAGGTAAAAGTTACCGGTTAATGGGGTCAAGTGACTCAAAATTGTGTGTTCATGTGTTCAATTGACCTTTTCAAAAGTTTGTGGGGTTAATTGACCTTTAGCAAAATGTTTAGGGGCCTATTTGACCCTTTTCTCATACTATTATTATATCGCGTTAACATAAATATCAATAATACCTAATAATATAATAATGTATCCGATACTATCAATGTCAATATTAATCGATATTATAGAAAAATTAATATAGTATATATATAAAATAAATTTTGCAGGGCAGAGATAAATATAAAGCCATGGAGAAGTGTGATGAAGGACATAAAAGAAGGGAACAAGAAAACAAAATGGAAGGACAGGGTGCCAATGGCTTATTGGAAGGGCAATCCACACGTGACACCAACCAGGGCTGATCTTCTCAAGTGTAACCTCACTCAACAACATAATTGGAACACTCTCCTTTATGTTCAGGTACATCTATTCAATTGGTCACATGAATAAAGTTTGGGAACAATAACCGGGATAGAGTTTCACTAGTGTTAAAAATCCCACATTGATCAAATAAGAGAGAACATATGAGTTTATAAAGTCATGTGTTAGACTAACTAATTGATTGGATTCAATTTTTAGTGTGGTTTGACCCATGTGTATTATAGTCCAATTGAGTGACCTTAGTCTTTTTTTATTTTTTATTTTTATTTTTATAATTATAATAACTAGGAACAATGTTTATCTAAATTTTTCCATATATTGTCCAACCATGTAAGTCATTGTGTTCTTTATTTATTTATTTTTTACATTTGATCTTTAATCTTGTCCAAATTATATAGAAGTAAGCATACTGTCGAATTATGTAAATTTTGTGTTCTATATCTTTTTTACTTTTTTATCTTTTATCTTGTCAAAATTACATGTAGTAAAGATTCATTTTTTCAGGACTGGGATCAAGAATCAAAAAATGGATACAAGCAATCAAATCTTGAAGACCAATGCACCCACAGGTTAATGCATGAATGCATATGGATATATCACTACTTGTTCAGCACATAATATATAAATAATATACGTACAATCTTACCATCAACTTAAATTTTAATTGCGACAAAATATATCTTTCAATTCTATTGACTTTAATTAATTAATTAAATCGTGTATTATTGAACTTTGTTTGACATTCAAGAATTAGTGACTGAGATTCATTTTTATTGTGTCTGTGGTTAATAATGTGTGCAGATACAAGATCTACATAGAAGGATGGGCATGGTCAGTGAGTGAGAAATACATATTGTCATGCGACTCACCAACGTTGTACGTAACACCTCGTTACCATGATTTCTTCATTAGAGGCATGATCCCCCAACATCACTATTGGCCTATTAGGGACAATGATAAGTGCAAGTCTCTCCAATTTGCTGTTGAGTGGGGCAACAATCGCACCGACAAGGTAATTATATTCGGTGTCAAATGTAAAAATAACATATATTCTTAAGACAAAACAGTACAACATAAAATACATAAGAAATGATTATAGTATCAATATGTACCCTTATCCGGCCCCTGGCCGCGTCAAAAAACGCCGAAATTGACCTCTTCCTCGGCTGGGCACCTAGGCGGCCGAACTCCGGTTTTTTTTTTTTTTTTTTTTGAATAACCCTAAAAATAATTTTTAAAAATTTCAAAGAAATTTTTAAAAAATAAAAAAATCTGGTGCTTAGCATCTTTTTCAACACTGTTTAACAGGATGCATGATTGACATATTCGTCATAGGTGTCGATCAGTATGGTAAACTTTCTCGATGAATATAATATAATGAAAAAAATTGAAATCTTTCAGGCACAAGCAATTGGGGAAGCAGGGAGCCACTTCATGCAAGAAGACATGAAGATGGAGTACATATTTGACTTCATGTTCCATTTGTTGAGTGAATATGCGAAGCTGCTGAGGTTCAAACCTGAGATTCCTCAAAATGCAGTTGAGGTTTGCCCCGAATCTCTGGCCTGTTCTGCAGATGGTCTGTTTAGGAAGTTCATGGAGGAGTCATTGGAGCAATCTCCCAGTAACACTGCTCCATGCACTTTGCCACCACCTTATGATCCTCAACAACTTGGGGCTTTCCTTGACCAAAAGATTAGGGCTACAAAGCAAGTTGAGGCCTGGGAGAATGAATATTGGAGTAAAAGAAATAAGAAGTGAAGCTATGATATAATGAACCAAGCTAGCTAGGGCACTCTTTAATTTGCTTGATTTCTTCTCTCTAATTAACTTTTCTTTTTTTTTTTTTTTTTTTTTTTTTTTTTTTTTTTTTTTTTTTTTGTGTGTGTGTGTGTGTGATTGTATTGGCTTATAAATGCATAAAGATGAACCATGACTTTTGTTGTAACTCTATTGTTTCTTCTTTTTCAATGATTAATAAGCATCCTGGATATATAGTTCATTCATTCTGAATATACAGTTCATACATTCTGGATATATAGTTCAAATTATGCACAACATAATGCCGTTAACGACAATCGAAACTGATTTTTTTTTTCTTTTTTTAAGTCGGACGCGTCGTTTTGATTGCTGTTTTTGCAACCGTGTGCACCATTCATGGTGCACACGGTTGCACGGCATAATTTGCGTTCATAGGCAACCTAGGCTCAGTGAAGCCCATGCCGGGTTTTTTCCTAACTGATTCAGGGCTTGTTTGCTCTCAAACTAGCCCAGTAATTCGTGGCCACCTCTATTTATTCGACATTTTTTAATCCAAAGTGGTCTAGAAAGCCTTTATCGGGTCAGCAATATTGATAGACAATTTTTTGATCCCTAAAGTGGTCCAAAAAGTGTGGATAACTATATTATTTATGTTAAATTTTAAGTTTTCTCATAAATCAAAGTTTTTGAGGAAAAAAATTTAAAGAAAAATATATTTGAATCATTATAAATTTACAAGTAACTTCTACCACCTTTAATTTGCCCTAACAAATTGAAACCCACACTATAACAAGGGATGACTGATAGCAGAAATCCTCTTTTATGTTAAGAATGTTGGAACTTTGTCAGTTTTATGAATGATTTTCTTTCACCTCAGAATTAATGGGAATATTTTCAGGTAATGTCCTAATCATCAGCTATGATGACCTGAAACTAAGGAACAACAATGGGGTCCACTACTTGTCCTTACATTTCTCCTGATCTTGTGGGGTATGAATTTTCTCATCAATCTAGATTTTTGAAAAAAAAAAAAAAACAAAGAAGGTAAAGATTTTATGTTGTTCAGACTGTCTGATTCTTTAGTTAGGTAATCAAAACACTGTATAGAATGATAGGCAGACAACATAAGACTACCACTTTAGGATTCTTTCTGGTAATCCTTCTGATTACTGCAATCACTGTCCAATGGATGGATATGGTAAATTCATTTTTTGATCCCATTCTGATCTTTTAGTTGTAATATAATCTGTACAGTTTTCAGTTTTTAATTTCCCTCCAAATTTTTGCACCAGATCTTGTGTCATAACCCCTCGAATCTCGTGTTGATTAGTTAAACCCGAGTTGTTGAAACAGGATTTGGTGCAAGTAACATTGTTGTTTCGGGTTTTTTGTGACATTATTAACAGTGCAAATTTGTTTCAGAATATTCTGTCAGGTGGATTCCAGAGAACCTCAAACAGTTTTTTCCCTGAGGTGTCGTGCTCCACCGCGTGTCCACAAAGAACGGTGCTCGTGCCCGAGGCTGCACGCACCTCGGAGAGCACCGAGGCATGCCCCGAGTACTTCAGGTGGATCCACGAGGACCTGAAGCCGTGGAAGGCGACAGGGATCACGAGGGAGATGGTTGAGAAAGCCGGGGAAGTGGCACACATTCGGGTGCTTGTAGTGAGTGGAGTGTTGTATGTGGAGAAGTTCAAAAAGGTTTTCCAAACAAGGGACATGGTGACACTGTGGGGGATTTTGCAGCTCCTCACATTGTACCCGGGTAGGGTCCCGGATTTGGATCTGATGTTCGAGTTGGGAGATATTCCGGTGATCAGAAAACGAGCCCACCGGGCTTCAGCTCCTCCACCGTTGTTCCATTACTGCGGTGATGACTTGAGTCATGACATCGTGTTTCCTGATTGGTCCTTCTGGGGATGGTAAACACTAAACACTAAACTAATCCTAGCTAGGCAAGCCGGGAATGGTTAACACTTAACACTGCAGTTTCTGCAATATTTTGCAGGCCCGAGCTCAAGATTAGGCCTTGGGAGGTGTTGAAGAAGGAGTTACAAGATAGCAATGAGGCTCGAAAGTGGGAGGACAGGGAGCCTTTCGCGTATTGGAAAGGGAACACGAAGCTGAGCCTTGCAAGGCGGGATCTCGCCAAATGCAATGCCACTTATCAAGACTGGAATGCCAGGATCTATGATGTGGTAATAACTAATAATATAGCCTAAAACTCCTCCTCCATAAGGTTCAGTGTTAGTTGTACTAAAAACCGTATTAGCCATTTTCAGGACTGGTATCGCGAGAAGAGGCAAAGATTCAACACGTCGAGTTTAGTGAACCAATGCACTCATAGGTGTGTGTAAAAATTGTAAAATGCCCTTTCAGGTTTCACAAGATTATTCACAAGATGACGATAATGTGTGACAGGTATAAAATTTATGTTGAAGGGATTTCATGGTCTGTGAGTCAGAAGTATATTCTGGCCTGTGATTCCATGAGTCTGTTCATAAACCCCCATTACTATGATTTCTTCACAAGAAGTCTTATCCCGACGGTCCATTTCTGGCCGATCAGTGAGAATGACAAATGCAGATCCATCAAGTATGCTGTAGACTGGGGCAATGCACATCCAAAACAGGTAAAATCAGGATCTTCATTTAAAAGCTTAAGCTGATAGTTGGATTGCATATTTATGTTTCTATAATATTATATGCTCAACACCCCCCCTCACGTGTGCGGACTGATTACTTCTGAAGGGCTCCAAGCCTAAGCTGATAGTTGGATTGCACATTTATGTTTATATATATTATATGCTCAACAATCTGATCACTGATAGATTGAGTTTTCTTGTTTTTTTCGGGTGATCAGGCGAAGGGAATCGGGAGATCAGGGAGCAAGTATGTTCACGAGAAGCTAATGATGAAGTATGTGTATGACTACATGTTTCATCTCCTGCAAGAATACTCGAAGCTGTTGAGGTATCAGCCGAGTGTGCCCGAAGGGGCTGTTGAAGTGTGCCACGAGGCGTTGATTTGCTCGGTCAAAGGATTGAGGAAGAAGTACAGATTGAATTCGATGGTGAATAATGCTTCGGAATCAAGCCCTTGCTCCTTGCCTCTCCCCTCCAGCCTGCAAAATCTTCAGGCTTTTCTTGACAAGAAAAGCGGTCTAATTAGGCAGGTTGAGCTCCGGGAAGTTGCAAAGGAAAACTCCAGTCAAGCACAGCGATGAGAAGCTGTTGTTTAGAAATCCCAGTGCAATTTTGCAGATGCAGTATAGCTAGCTTCTAGTATCATCATTTTGATGAATTATTAGCCTTTCTGTCTTCCTTTCAAATTTGCAGATAAGCACAACTATGAAACTGTTGTTTCTTTAGAAATCCCACTACAATTGCAGATCCATTATAGCTTCTTCTAATATCATCATTTCAACAAATAGTCCTTCTGTGATGTTCTGTCTCAAAAGAATTTCACAAAAACTCTCTTTTTAGTTGGGATGGAGCACATTTCAATTTGGTATAAGAGCCAGACCAAAAGTCTGGGTTCGAAATCTCAGCGCCACCCATAAGCGACTGGTCCATGTCAGCTTTTAGTTGGGATGGAGCACATGCTTCAATTTTACACAACTATGTCAGCTTTTAGTTGGGATGGAGCACATGCTTCAATTTTACACAACTATGTCAGCTTTTTAGTTGGGATGGAGCACATGCTTCAATTTTACACAACTTGTACCACCACTGTAAAATGTTCTTATATATAAAAATCCTTATATCAACTCAAAGTTCATGGATACCCATAATTTCAATTGCAGAATATATTTTCATGGCCTGCCAGATCCGCTCCATGATCAACGGTCAAGAAGATGCCCCCGGTGATCAAAATAAATTCATAAAGAGTTTGAAACTGGAAAAGGTGCCTCCTAGGAAGCAGAAAATCTAAGAAAACATTGATTTTCATGATGGTTTTTAGACTTCATAGTTGGTTCTGAAGTTTTTACAGTTTGTTTCATCGAAATATCCAATCATAGTGACATGAGATCTGAAATGAGTTATGAAAGAAAGGAAAAAGGAAAGAGCAAAGGGGTAGAGAGAATACAATTGGTAAAAATGAAGGAATTATATGATTGACCTTAACATATACAAAACAAAAAATGATGAACAAACAATGTTCAAATACAAAAAAACTTTCAGGAGAAATAAGTGGATAATCTCATCTTATCCTCTGATTCAGAACTAATTAATTAACCAGCAGAAAATCCCAGAAACTGAGATGTTTATGAAGTAACGAAACGACTAAAAACGCGATGGAGATCAACTTTTAGTATGCTCTCCCTTTGAAGGTATCCAAGCTCATCTCACTCGGATCAGTTGCCTGCAACTCAACCTGCACCCCATCGAGCTCTCTCCTGAACCTGTCTTTCGAGCTTGCATACACCATCTTGCTCCTAATTGGAGCAGTTTCTGGTGCCCTGAATCCACACAGACCGAACATCGGATTAATGGGAAAAGAAGTAAATTAAACAAATCAGAACAGAAATGCATTTTAGTACACATTTACCATGCAACAAAGAAGATCTTGCTCTTTTGGCAGTTCTCATCAGTGGTGAAATCATAGTCATAAACTGCATAGCGACACTCGTTTGGTGGCATGCTGTTAGAGAATTGGATATGAGTCTCTTCATGGCTCCCGAGCTTTTCGACCACTACAGCCTGGCTCGCCTCATCGATCTTGAACACGATGTATCTGTAGTTCCTCTTGGACTTCAGTTCCAGGAATTTCAACTTGCATTCATCAACCACACCAACCCCAGATGCAGAGTTTGCCTAATCATGCCATCAACAAAGTATTTCATGAAAGATTTCATATTTCCAAAAAAAAAAAAAAGTTTTAACATAACATTCTGCAAATCATTAGGGCACCACCTAAGAGAAATTGAAAGCAGGTTTCAAGACTAAAGCTGGAAACTTTCTGATCTATGTAAAACATGTTTCGATCTTTGGGTGACGAGGGAAATTCACAGCCACTACCCGAGGGTGTGCACTAGGTAAATCCAGTCTAGTGGGCAAAGAACCACAATGAGGTAAATCAGTCTAAGTTGCCTATAGCTGATCAGCTTAAACCAGTATTGCAAAAATCTTGCATAGAATTAATCGGCACCTAGGCGCTGGCCGGCCGCCTAGCGTATCATCATAAGATGGTCTAGACAGCTGGCCGGCTAGGCAGCCGACTAGGCCACCTAAGCACCGCCTAAGCCGCCTCTGACGGCCTAGGCCTCCTAGGCTCCAAGAAGGCCAATAGGTCACCAGTTGGGAGTCCAACTTGTAATCTTGTGGTTACCAAGACAACAGCTTGACCAATTTGGCAGGGTTGCCCCAACATGTTATGATCTTGTAGAATAATGTTGTCTCCGGTGAGAAATGCATGAATCAAATTGAAAATAGAATGATGCAATCATAACCATTTAAAGTTTGAAACTTTTTAATCTAACGTAAAACATCCTCTGATCTTCTTGTAAAATAATGTTGTCTCCTGTGAGAAATGGATGAATCAAATTGCAAATAGAATGCTGCAATCATAACTATATATGAAAAGTTGGAAACTTTTTTAATCAATGTAAAACATGTTCTGATCTGATCTCATTGTCGAACAATGTTGTCTGATCTCCTGTGAGAAATGCATGAATCAAATTGCAAATAGAATGCTGGAATCATAAATCTGTAATCTTGAAAATCTACCATTTTGTGTTGTGGCTAAAAGTGCAGGACCCTTCTTCTGCTATTGTGAACAAAACCAATATTGAGAAAAACGAAGAAAAAGAAGAAAATGTGTGCTTGAAAGAGAGAGGGAGAGAGGTGTTAGGTTTTAGAAGGTGACACAGAAATGTTTCATGGGCTGAGAGAGTTTCCAGGGCAGTTTGGAGAAAATTGAGGTTTACATTACCCCAAATGGCAATCAATCTGATGAATAGAATATCATATCTTTTATTTTATATATTTATTTTTTCCTCCTAATTTAATAGTGTCAATATTTTGTTCCTATAATATATATCATGTCATACAGGACCTGTCATGTAATTGTATATATTATTATATCAAACATGAAAAAAGAGAGAGTAAATTTTGATGTAATTTTGTTTCGAAGGAAGAAATATTGTATAGGAATTAAAGAGCAAGTTTCCTAAGATGCAATATTTGAAATTTGAACACTTTATTGGAGATTTTGTTTCCAATTATTAAAATAAAAGAAATACTAATATGTATATATGTCAATGACCTTGTGGTCTACTAGTGGCACAAAGTTACTATCTCATATGGAAGGCTGTGAGTTCGAGCCATGGTGGAGACGGTCTTGATTAACACGGAGTTCTCAGAAGAAAATATATCAAACATATTATTTTGATATGTGCATTCGGTTATAGTTATCAAACTGGGAGGACCGATAAACAAAACAGAACTTAATACATAAACAAGCTAAATAGAAGCAAATGACAGGCACAACGACAAATTGCCAAATTCCAATAGAATACTACTATATATTGTCTAAAAAGTCTTCAAATTAGTTTCCAACTAGCTACTAAACATACAATATTACAAGTGAACTAAGTATGCATATATATAGGGATAGAAAATAGAAATCAGTATTGCATTGCACATACATCATGCATGATTCAGAAACTAACAGATAAAGATGGTACATTATATTACATCTATTAAAAAAGCAAATTAAGGCTGAAATGCCAAAACCAACCACTGGGATGCTTTGATGCTTTCTTTAAGCAAAGCAATCTTCTTAATTAGTTAACACTCATCATCATCAACTCCAATAATATGTCTGCATATATATGCATCAAACACACACACACACATATTTAAGCTTCCAATTCAGTACTAAAATACAAGACATGAAGTTTGAGCACTCCCCAGATCGAGTTTTGTAATTGTCTAATATGATTCCAACAACTAAACTCCAAGAAATAGATAGCATACATTCATTATCCATGAATTCTTGCAAGCATTGGATTCTTGAATGAGTTTCCACAAACGCCTGGCCGTCCGGGCTGCAATCCATCTTCGCTTCTTCTTGTCTTCTGCCTAAAAGTGAATACAAGGAAGGTATCAATTATCAGTTATCCACTTCTAGCTCTTCTTCACTCAGGCTTTTCTCAGATTCCGATACCTGTCATGAGTCACTGAATTTAATTAAATCTGCTTGGCACAAGTTGAAAAAATACAATTCAAAAAGAGAAAGGGTGACATACATCTCTAGTTTCTTTCTCAACAACAACCATATTGTAGTTTCCATAGTCACGTTGCTCGTCCTGAATTTTCTTGGCTGATTCCACAGCAGAAGGAAGACATCTCGATATTTTGATTGACTTCAATGTTGAAATTTCAGCAAAGTCAATTGGGATCTCTCTCAATTCAAAACAATTCCAAAGAACTAGGTGCTTAAGTTTTGGGAAATTATGACTACTAGCTTTCCACTGCTTGAGAACACAACCATGGATAACTAAAGCAATTAACTGGCAAAATATCACTTCCTCTTGTATTTCCCATTCTTTGCCTGCGTTTAGCGTCCATAGTAACTTGAGCATCTCTAGCCTAGGCAACTTGCTAAGAATATTAATTTCCTCCCACACAAATCTCATAGGATATAATGTCAACTTCCTAAGGTTTTTCAAGAGAACAATATCATTTATAATTGGAATATGTGTTTCACCTCCACCTGAAATGCAAAGTCTCTCGAGCTGCTCTAAATAGGCTAAGTTTGCAATGCAAGCATTAATCTCTCTGCCTTTACCTCTAATATGTACATTCTTCAAGCATGGAATATTGGTAATGTATTCATTTGAGCAATCTTTAGCTCTTATCCAATGAAGTTTATGAACAAAATTGGGAGGATTTCCACAATAGATAGAGCAACGAATATGATGTAGTTGTGGAAACTCCAAATACTTCCTTCCTTCATCTAATCTATATGATACACTTCCATTACAATCAAGTGTTTGAAGATTCCAAGACCTTGACAATTCTACACCCTCTCCAAGTCTTGGCTTTAGGAATTCCTGAGTCCTAGACAATTCTATATCTTTTCCAACTCTTAGGAATCTCAAATGGATATAATTCACATAATTTTTTAGCCTGAAAGGTTGACCATTGAAGTGGAAGAAGATTACTCTCAGTAGATTGCGATTTCTAAATTTTGGAAGTGCACTCTGCCACCAAAAACCGAAGAATGATCTATAGCTTTTCCAAGTAAAATTTTGTATTATAGACATGTTAAAATCGCTATATTGGATGCTTACCCAACGAAAACCTTTTTGTTGAAAATAAGAACTATTTTCACTCTTAACAACATGCAAAAGGTTCTCTTTTTCAGCTTCTCTCACACAAAAGCCATGCAATAAATCATGCATCCTAAAGCTCTTAATTTTTCTTCCACAATAGCTTTTCCGGTTTAAAATTATTAGATTTCTATCCATAAGTTCTTGTATGTACCTGTTAGCCACTGCATCAAAGCTTTCATTCTCAAATGCCTTTACGAGTCCTTCAGCAAGCCATAACCTTGCAAGATTATTAGCTTTGATTTTGTGATCTTCTGGAAAAACTCCCAAGTATAAGAAACAAGCTTTTAAGTTGTGGGGCAAATGATTGTAACTCAATGAGAGTATTCTCGAACATTCTTCATCATCTAGAGTAGCTGCAGAAGAAGAACTTAGAGCATTGGCAGTATTTTCCCACTCATCTAGAGTGTTGAGTTTGGAAAAAAGGCCTGCAATCACAATAATTGCCAAAGGCAGTCCTTTGCATTTTTCAACTACCGGTCTCCCAATCGTCTTAAATTCAGCACCTCGAGATTTACATGCCTTTTCATCTTTGGAGCATATATGATTAGCCACCTCCGCAAGGCGAGTTGTCAACAATACTCGACTACCATTTCCATCATCGGGAAAGCAAGTTTTGACAGCATTCCACGCCTCTTTGCTCCATACGTCATCCATCACAATCAAGTACCTTTGACACTTCAAACTTTGGTAGAGTTGTAATGCTAGGTCCTCATTACTGCTGCTGTTTGCTATATTGTTTTTGGAACCAAGAAGATCGAAGAGCATTTGCCCCTTATTGTGATCTTGTGATGCGACAGTCCATGCTTGCTTATCAAAGTGGGAAGTGATTGATGGATGTTCATAAATTTTCTTTACTAATGTTGTCTTACCAATACCTCCCATACCTTTAATGGAGACAAATTGTAGTTGCTTAGATGGATGTTGGATTAGCATCTTCTTTATAATCTCGAACTCATCCTGTTTTCCTACCATTATTTCTTTGGAGCGTGAAGCATGGTGGGAAGAGTCAGGCATGGTGATACATTGATGAGTAGGTATTGGTAAAACATGAAGGGAGGCAGGCTGCTTTGTTCCTACTTGTAGATGATGTTTGAAAAGCTGGTACTCCTCCTTGGCTTTCGCCAACTCTACAATGATGGCATCAATTTCTTGTAGAGCTGGGTGCAAAATACGACGGAATTTGAGACAAGGATGAGATTTTCCCCTTAGCGGATGCAAAATTTGATTAAGCCTCTGACAATGATGAGTAGTTGTCTGATGAAGGCTTTGGCAATGATGAGTGCTTTTTTCAACCTGTGGCATTTCCTCTTCTTCTTCTTCTTCCGGTGGCCAAAATGTCTGATCCACAATTCTGTCAAAAATATCAAAAATTCTGTTTCCCTCTTCTTCTTCTTCTTCCTCTCTTTTTATTTCTTCGTCATAAAGATGTAGTACTTGGAGTTCAATTTCATCCTCGATCCTGGAAGCTACGTCTCT